GTGACCCCCAAATATTTGAAACGGCTAGCCCGAGCAGGGGCTAGCCTGAACGGGGGGGGCATGCTGTAAGTTTGTAAGATTTTACAGAGGATTTTAAAGGTGAGTTACAAAAATAAACAAGAGTCTAAACTGCCATTGGTACGTTATTTGCCTGGAGACTTTCAGTTCTATACTTATTGATTACTCGAGCAGATGTGTGAGTGCACTGTGTCACGGCGTGTATCGTGTTGGTCAGAGGACAGGCGGTACGAGATGGTTTTCATCTTCCACTTTTTGTGTTCTAGGAATCAAACTCAGGTCATCACGCTTGACGGCAAACACCTTCACCCACCGGGCCATCTCATTGGCCCAGACTAGGTTCAATAAGGAATGCAGGGGCTGGAGAGACGGCCCAGGATTAAAGAGCACCGACTGCTCTTCTGGAGGACCTGGGTTTGATTCCCAGCACCCACACAGCAGCTCATCCAGCTGTAACTTTATTTCCGAGGGGACCCGATGCCCTCTTCTTGACATCTACGGGCACCAGGCACACACATAGTACATGGAATCACATGCAAGCTAAACCCTCGTAGAAATAAAATAAACATTATTAAAAAAAGAAACAAATGTACTTACAATGCATCTCTCTTGCTTTCTTAATAGGATCACCAGAAAAATTCAAAATTACCATAAGTGGTTCTCATTCCCATTGTCTTGACATTCTATGGGACATGCATGGTCTAGATAGTTCTAAATGCCTTCTACAAGGGTTCCTGGATTGGCGGCGGTGGGTCAGGATTCATGGCTCCGAGCTGCATTTTCACCCCTCCAGCATCTTACTACAGGAGTATGCGAACCATTGTTCACAGTAACATCCTTGGACAGCTCCCCTGAAGAGCATGGGATAGGTGGGTTAGGATTTCTAAACCCTTACTTGATTTTCCTCTGCCTCCCTGTGAAAGTTGGCAGCCTTAGTTAGATTCCGCTTAGCTTATGTGTGAGGGCAGACGCTTACAAGCACCCAAAGCTCTGGTCAGGTGCCTTTGCACTTTTCATAATGAAGTCACCCATGGTCTTCTCGGCTTGCAGCTACTGTTTGCTTGCGTTTTGAAACAGTGTTGCTATTTAGCTCAGGCTAGCTTTGACCTCAGCACTCCGCTGCCTCATCCCGGGAGTGGGCTTCCGGTGGCGTGAGCTGCACTATATAGTCGGTCCCCAATTCCTTGGACTGGGGTATTCTTGCATCTACTATGTGTCTTTTCCTCAAAGTCACCCCCTCCAAGTCAGCTTCAGTAAGCCAAGGTACGCCACCCTGGGAAGACAAGGAAGAATCGCTTTCCTTTCCCCTTGCATCCCTAAGGCCAAGAAAGAATACAGCTATGTGCTGGTCCAAAGGCGGGGAGGGGGAGGGTCGAACGGATGGCTAGAATGGGGAGGAATAAGGTAGCAGCTGTGGGAAGGGAATGAGACTCAGAAACTCCTAGAAATGAGTTCTCGAAGGGATGCTTGGTGTCCTAACTGTAAAGTCCTAGAAAGCAGGACCAGGCCTGTCCTGGAGAGATGGGAAAGGACTGTCACCAGCAGGACCCAAGCGCACTACCATGTGGCAGAGAAATGTGCCCCAGCCGCTCTGACAGCTTGTTTATGGCGGCCCCCGCTTTTTATTTCTGACGCGCTCTAAGCAAGCATGGAGATGGAGGTGGTGACGCGCATAGATACCCAGACTGAGAGAAGCAAACATTTACTAAACTTTCTACCCCCATCCCCCGCTCATAGGAAGCAGAAATACCCAGACATTGTTTCAAGTCGGCGAGTTACCAGCTTCACAACAGGTTCCCTGGCAGAATGCAAGACAAGCCATTGTTCTGTGTCAGGAAGTTCTGAGTTTCTGAGGCAGTCCCAGCTGGATTTAGCTGGTACCTTGGGGTTGAGAGTCTTTCTTTCTTTCTTTCTTTCTTTCTTTCTTTCTTTCTTTCTTTCTTTCTTTCTTTCTTTCTTTCTTTCTTTCTTTCTTTCTTTCTTTCTTTCTTTCTTTCTTTCCTTTCTTTCTTTCTTTCCTTTCTTTCTTTCTCTTCCTTCCTTCCTTCCTTTCTTTCTTTCTTTCTTTCTTTCTTTCTTTTCTTTCTTTCTTTCGTTTTTTTTGAGACAGGGTTTCTCTGTGTAACAAACTTAGTTGTCCTGGAACTCTCTCTGTAGACTAGGCTTGGCCTCTGAGCTCACACAGACACGCCTGCCGCTGCCTCCCTAGTGAGCGCCACCGCCGCCTGTAATTCTTTCTTTAATATTGGTGCACTACTAAATCCATGGTGGCGGTCTGTTTTCTTGATGTTTTTTTTTTTTTCTGTTTGATATTTTTGTCTCTGGTGCAAAGATGACACTAGAAGCTTCTCTTGGGCCACGTTTGACAGGGCTTAGGTCAGAATAATGTGAGGAGTGTTCTAAGAGGCTGGTCTGTGGCACCTCAGGGTATGCATTTGAAAGGCAGCTTGGACCGGAGTCTCTTCCATTGGAGGATGCCTGCAGCAGATGTTCTAGTGAAGGAAGGAACCAAGGAACAGAGAAGGCTCCTATGATGGTTTCCTCTGGGCAACTTCCGGAGACCCACACCTCCCCCTGTCTCTTTTCCCCACCTAGCTTCTTACTCTGGGACCTTAGGCAGGAGGAAGCCTCGGTCTGCAGACCCTGGTGTGTCTCCTGAGAACAACTGTGGGAGGCCTAGGCTTCATGCCTGGAAGAGCAGGCGTCGGTCACCAAGTATCACTGTCCTCTCTGGCGGCCCAAATGAAGCGCCATACTCCAGGGGCTCACACCAGAAGTTACACCTGCTTCCTCGGGGCTCTGCAGGTTGCAATTCTGAGAGCCAGAAGCCAGTGAGCCGGTTTCTTTGTCAGCTCCTAGTTTGCAGGTAGTAGCTGCCTATGTACCCCTGCGTGGTCTTCCCCTTTTTATGTCTTCTCTTGTAAGGACTCCAGTCATATTGCATGAGGGCCACCTTGTGACCTTATTTTAACGCCACCGTTTCTTTAATGAACCTGAACCTGTGGCACTGTGGGGTCAGATTTCAACAACATACCAATCAAGATGGGAACCCATGGAGCCCAGAGCACTGACTCTGGAGCTGGGATCTCACTGTATCTGAATAACCCAGGGGTGCCATGCCACTCCCCTTTCTTACAAAAATACCCATCTTGAGCTGGGCAAAAGAGAAGGGGAGAAGCAGAGGGGAGAGGAGGACATGGGAGAGCAGGAAGGTTGAGTCTGGGGGAAGAACAGAGGAGCGCAGGATGAGAGATACCATAAAAGAGGGAGTCATTGTAGGTTTGAGGAGAGATCTGGCACTAGTGTGATTTTCAGGGACCTATAAGGATGACACCAACTGGCAATCTAAGTAATAGTGGAGACGCTACCTTAAATGCCCCTCCCCAATAATGAGCTTGACTACTACCTTATATGCCATCCTAGAGCCTCCATCCAGTGACTGATGGAGGCAGAAGCAGGCACCCACAGCTAAACAGTGAACTGAACTCTGGTACCCAGTTGCAGAGAGGGAGGAGTGATGAGAAAAGGGGTCAAGACCAGGCTGGTGAAACCCACAGAGACAGCTGACCTGAACAAGGGGGAGATCATGGACCCCAGACTGATGGCTGGAAAGCCAGCATGGGACTCATCCAGATCCCATAAATTTAGGTGTCAGTGAGGAGGCCTTGGCAGTCTAGTACCTTGGGTACTAGATCAGTGTTTATCCCTGGCATACAAATGGACTTTAGGAGTCCATTCAACATGGAGGGATGCTATCTCATCCTGGACACATAGGGGAGGGCCTAGGTCCTGCCCCGGATGATATGACAGACTTTGGAGATCCCCCATGAAGGGTGTCATCTCTCTGGGGAGTGAAATGTGGATTGGGAGTGTTGGAGGGGGGCAGGGGAGAAGGGGAGGGAGAGGGAACTGGGATTGACATATGAAACTAGCTTGTTTCTAATTTAAATAAAAAATAAATAAAAATACCCATCTCCTAGCCTCTCTGAGAGTCATAGACTAGTCAGCCCCAGGACCTCAGTTCCTGGATGTTGGAACCTTTTCTGGAACCTTCTCCCTGGGGACTCCACCATTGACAAGCTGGTATCCAATGTGCTTCTTACCGAAACTCTCCTCCCCTGCTGGCTACCCAGTTCAGCTGAAGCAGACACAGGCCCAGAGAACCAGAAATGTCACCTGACCTAGTGACCTAACGTTTAGTCTGGGTATCCCAGGAGGCAGATGTCCCCTGTGGGCACATGCTCCCAAGGGTTCTGCAGCCAGCCGTCTCTGCATTAAATAGATACTGGAAATGGACGGATGTCAGAGTTTGCCTGGCTCCCCATAACTCCTTAAAAGCAATTCCCCGATGACGCCAGTGGAGAAGATAGGATGGTGGGGTCTAGACAGGATTGCCTAGGGTTATTCCCCCACCCCCCCCACCCCAAGCCATTTAGTCACGTCCCTCCTGAACCAGATCAGCATGATCTCCCTTGCCCCGGGCCTTGCAAAGTCAGCTCTGTTGTCCAGGATCCCTCTTCTGGGATCACCACAAAAGCACAGCTCTTGCAACTCTCTGCCCAGAGTCAGTGTTCCTGGGTGGTCCTCCTTGGGTGGGTCTCTGGGCATAGAAACCCCAAGCCACATATCCTCCTGGGCTCTGCAGAGCCCAGCAGGTCCTGCCTCGTGCGCAGCTCAGCTCCAGCTTGTTTGGGAGATTAAGATCAGAGACCCGTGGAAGGGCCCACATTTTTTAACAAGGCAGAAAGCACAAGCTACTCAGAAGTCAGGCCTACTGTGCGGAACACCCCCCTCAACACACACACACACATGCACACGCACGCACGCACACACACACGCACCACACCCTGACTCTGGGGACCTCTCCCATGAAGATGGTATCTCCGGGTGAAGAAAGAGTCACCCGGCTCCCAGCAGGCTTCTAAGCAGAAGAGCTTCACTTTCAATTACCGGCAGCAGCTGTGGAGGCCACTTATGTAACGGGCTCCGTGCCTCCTCCTTGGGAGGTGGGGAACCATTTGGTGTGTGCTAAATAATGAGTCATGGTCAGAGTGAGGGAGCAGAGAGAGCAGATTTCTCCCTTGTATTACTTCATCCGAACCTCTGTTTAAAAAAAATCGGTGAGTGAATCAGAGCTAGCAGGCTTGCCCGAGACTGGGAAGCACCATGGGGGGCGGGGCACTGAAACGGAGGTCCCCTCAGGGATCCCCAAGGGCTGCTGAAGGAGGCTTCGGGGTGGGAAGCCCAGCTGGCCACTTGTAGACTCACGTTTGTCTCGAACTGTGTCTGACCTGTCAAGGGCTCTGTGTCCTCAGAGCCTCGGGCCTTTGCCCGGCCCAGACCGGGTCCAAGAGAGATGGGGTGAAAAAGAAAACCTCAGAATGAACAAACTAACCCTAAAAGGGCGAAGTGTGTCTCAGGGTGGAGGGAGAGTCACACTAATGTTAACTAAGAAGTCAAAAGGTTTGGTTTATCGAGGGGTGGGGAGACTTCTGATGTCCTCCTATTGTAGGGTAAAATAAACAAAACAAAACAAGAAACAAAGTAGCGCAGTGACTTGTCTCCTTTCGTGTTTCTGAGAAATCCGGTCAAGATACACAGCGAGATGGAGGCAGGTGGAAACACTTGCCCACACGCCTGATGGCCTGTATTGAGTCCTAGTCTATCTCCCAGGTGATTCCACAGCCTGCCCAGTTGATGGCATTAATGGTCACGGCAGAAGGAAGGCGAGCTCTGCCCTCCAGGGGCACGCGGAGAGGCATGCACACCCTGCAGCACACAGGTAAACATATAACTTAGAATTATAAATTTGTGTCAGCCAATAATTTCTTGTGACTGCTGTCTTCCCACACTGCCATGCTTTTCAACATGGATGGCATCATGACGGCCAGTGCCCGTCCTGTCTCCACAGGAAGCCCCAGATGAGCCCCTGTGATGGGAGTTGCCATTCTGTCTCTTATTGGTTGTTGAATAAAGCACTGTTGGCCAATAGGGAAGCAAGATAGGTGGGACAAGGAGTCGAGGAGGACTCTGGGGAGGAGAAACACAGGGAGTCATCATGTAGCTGCTATAGGGGTAAGAAGTCCAGACCCTTTTCTCTGGTCAGAAAAATACTTAGATTAACAATTATGGGTTAAATACTTAAGTCAGAGCTAGCCAGTAAGACACAAGCAAAGGCCAACAGCTTCATAATTAATACAGCCTCCTGTGTGTTCATTTGGGACTGATGGGGCTCTGGGACCAGGCTGGCAGGAAGGCTTCTCTCTGCACCCCTGGGAATAAGGAGAACCACCACTGTCCGTGTTCAGGGCCTCTTACAAAGCTGGTCAGAACTGTTTTATGTTGTGGCAGACGCACAAATCTGTGTGTTCAGGGCCACTGGCCTGATGAGGCATGTGGTAGTTAGTAGTATCAGGGGGAACAAGCTCTGGAGCCACCTAGGAGACACAGCTCTGGGCATGTCTGTGAGGGAGTTTCCAGACCGTGCTAATTGAAGAGGAAAGACCCACCTTAAGTGCACAGCCCCATCCCACACTGAGTAACGAGGAGAAAGCAGGGACTGAACACCAGCAGCAACCTATGTCTCCCTGCTTCCTGACTGCAGATGGGATGGGACCAGCTGCCTTGCATTCCTGCGGCACCGGCTCCGTGCCCCGGCTGTGAGCCGCAATGAACCCTTCCTCCTTAAGTCACCTTTGTCAATGGCGTTGTCCCGGTAATGAGAGGTTACAAAGCGGTGGGAAAGGTTTTATTCAGTGTGCAAATCTCTGAGAGCCGAGCCCTCCCTCCCAGAAGCAGCATAGCCAGAGGTCAAAGGTCTAAGTACCTGGCTAGGATCCCTGCCCTGCTACTTACTCCAACTCTGCTTCTGGGATACAGTTACCTCCTCTGTAGTGTATATTAAATCTTTTTTTGTTTTGAGACAGGGTTTCTCTGTATTGTTTTGGAGGCTGTCCTGGAACTCGCTCTGTAGACCAGGCTGGTCTCAAACTCACAGAGATCCGCCTGCCTCTGCCTCCCGAGTGCTGGGATTAAAGGCGTGCACCACCAACGCCTGGCTTACAGTTACCTCCTCTGTGTGGGTCATGGGACACCAAGAGCCTCTCACTCATAGGGTAGTTCTGAAGACTGAGGTAAAACTTGTAAGGTATTTAGAGTTGGGGGGGTACCATCAAACCTTGTTATCATAGCCATTATTTATTTACTCTCCCTGCACCGTTCGTGTCTGTCTGCCGAGCTGCCGTGGAAGACCTTCTGGGTTAGTGCCCAAGTCGCAGGCAGTGAGCATTTATGAAAGAACGTGGTACTGACAGGATGGAAGGGAGCACTGACATCCAAGGGTGCTCGGTGTGCGGGTGCAAACTCGGCAGAAACCTTTTAGCTGGCCAAGGGAATGAATCCACCTTCAGGCTATTCTGAGGAGGCGGTGGGAAGGGCTACAGGGGCTTCCTGGTCCTTTGTGTGCTGGGATCCTACAGGAAGGACCCAGGGCTGTCATTTGAGACAGGCAAAGCCGATGTGGCTGTGACAAGTTTCTTTTCTTGAAACAACTCGAATTTGCCCAGCTTTGTGGCTTTTTTTTTTTTTTAATGTGGAACAGCATTAGGTCATCCAAGCTTGTGGTTTATTTAAAAACGAAATTCCGGTAAATCTTTCGCACCATCTGGCTGTGCGGTGATTGGCTTCGAGTTGGGAACAAACCACCGAGCACCACAAGAAAACAAAGCGACAGAACCCGCCAGGGACAGAGTGGTTCTTGTAACGTCTGTGCCCAGATCAACCCGCAGGGCTCTGAGGATGGGTCCGAACCCTTGAACAGAGCCGAAACCTGTCTCTCTTGGGGCGGGAATCCATTTCTCTCGGTACCCGGGGCCCCGGCAGAATGTCTCTGCTGGAGCTCCAGCCAGAGCCTTCCATTCTTTCTATAGAACTAGACTTCTGGGGGCTTTGAGGGCACACACAGGCTCTGGACACCAACACGGATGACCAGGAGAGAAGACACACAGCCAAACACCAGTACTTGACTCTTTGGAGTATGAAAACAAGACCCAGACCCCCGAGTCCCCCAGGGACACAGGAGATGCCACTCTTATTTACCTGTCTGACACACCCACCAGCCCTCATCTGGTGTCTGTAACATGCACAACAGATTTGCATCCCTGGGCCTGCTGTGTGGATGGCACTGTCCCCAGGCATAGGAGAGAGAAGCGTGGACCAGGTAGATGTGGCCGTCGTGTTTAGAGAGTTTTACATCCAGAATGGCAGACATTTTCCAAGCTGTATCATCCTAATTTTAGACGCAGGAGGCATCACGTAGGGGATGATACAGAGGGTGCAGAAGCCTCCGTTACCCTTGGGATGGGGAGGGGGCAGCCTGAGGAGCAGCCTGGGTGGTAGCCTGGGGGGGTGGTCAGGGGCCAGGCTTGTCGGGGGTGGAGGGGGACAGCCTGCTGAGGTAGTCCCAGAGCACTGTGCAGTGAGGTAGGAGAGGGAGGTGGGGGCCACACCCATGGGCTGGAGTGAAGCTGGTCCCCACTGTCATACAGGAAAGAGGTATGGGTCAACTGGCGGGTCAGTAGACTGTAGACAAGCCATGGGGGCAGCAGGGACAGTGGGGGCTTGAGAAGCAGCGTGGGAGGGAGTGAAAGCATCTCATGTAAAGTGTGGAAACACCCGCTGATGGCTGATGTGTTTGATGTGGCAGAAAAAGACAGTCGCGAAGCAAAGATCTCCCTCCCGGGTCCTCCGCTCCAGCCGCTGGATGGGTGGAGATCCCAGTGGTGGCTGGGAGTGGAGAGGCAGGAGAGGGACAGGGGACGTGGTGTTCGAGGCAAAGGTTTAAGAGCGGGTTTTCGTCGTGTGGAGCCTGAGATAATCTGATACCTCTAAGTGGGAACAGGAAGCATATTTTCTGGAGTTCAGCAGAAAAAAAAATGAACGAAAGAGTGAGCATCACGAAGCTGATCACTGGACCCGGGAGAAGCTGGGTTCTGACCGAGCAGAGGGAAGCAGTGAGTGCCCTAATTGCAGGGGCTTCCCACACCCTGGCCTGCATGCAGACTGGGGGGCCTAGTAGACACGCGGGGTCTAACCCACATGTGTGCGGTGACCCCAGATGCTTGTGCACGGCCTCCAGCCCCCATCATCCCCTCCACAAAGTGCACCCCTGACGGCCACTCACGAACACGTCCGGATGAAGTCTCAGGCCTTGGAAATCAGACCTGAGCTGTCTGGACAGGAATCCCAGAGCCACAGACATCTGGAACATAGTGTACAGGGGATCATTTACAGGTTGGTCAGGCGTGGACTCCTCATTTGCCTGGATGAGGGTTAGAGCAGGTGATGCCAGAGCCGGGACTTCTAAAGCTTGAACCATCAGACAAGGACCTTTGGTGCTAAGACATAAGGTAGCATTGTACATGTGACATGCATGGGGGTGACAGGGGCCGTGGCTCTGATATGAAGCTCATAGGAAAGGACCCCGAGTCACTATCTTGACACAATCTCGCTGTCCTGCGGCTTACTCTGCAGTGTCTACCTTGTGGTAAGCATCTGGCTTCCACACTGACCTTGTCACAATGGCAGTGAGCATGCTTGTTCAGTTTGCCTCAGCTCTTGTTACAGGAGGAGAAGAAAAGGGGGGGGGAATAAGACAAAACAAAACAAAGCAAAAAGAGATGCCAAAAGGCTGGAAACAACCATCTACGTTGAATGAGAATGAGTAAAGTGTTGGTAAGCTCAATTGAAGCACTACCAAGGAAAATGAGAGGACAATGATCCACGCGCTTTGTCTGTGTGACTAACACAGTGTAGAACAACAGCAAAAAAAGAAAGAAAGAAAGAAAGAAAGAAAATGCAGGGTGTATGAGAAAGGGAAAATCCACCAGGATGGACTCGTCCTCATCTCTCTGCCAACTTAGTCAGGCCAGAGGCATGGGAAACTCTGGGCTATTCATGGACACTCAGCCTCAGAGGGGTTGGCACAGGTGCTGGGACAAGCCATCCCTCACGCCGTGCTCACACAGGACATTCCACACAGTGGTGGAATACAGGGGCCTGAAGGACAGACAGCATGATTTCTGTCTGTCTGTCCAAGACTCAAGTCCATCCAGGTGCTGCCCGGCAGAGGACAAGGTCAGGGCACTTTGACCCCAAGGGCTAGGAATTAGAAAGAACTGGTCTGAGGCTTAGGGTTGCCTTCTGAGCTTGGTGAGTCAGGAGAGAGTGGGAGAGGAAACTTATCTCAGTTTTTGTGAGTGAGGTCACCATTGGAGAGGGCTGGGAACCTGAGGATGAGTTGTCCTGGAGTGTTCTTAGCAGCCTGTCCTTCCAGAACTGGGACTACTGACTATGAATCAAAGTTCTGTATGCACAGGGCTTGGACGTGGCTGGCTAGAGTCAAGGTCATTCTACAGGCAAAGCCTGCTGTGTCTTCTCAGAGCCACAGCCCTCCTACCCAAGTCCGGGACTGGTCCAAGCTGTGTGTGCTATCTGAAGAGTTAAACCTATAGCATCCATCTATGTAAAACACACACACACACACACACACACACACACACACACACACACACACACACACACGCATCGGATACAATGGGGCTCTAGCATCTGTGTGACATGGATGTCCACCTCTGCCTCCTCATCCTTTTCCTCCTCTTCCTCTTCCTCCTCCCCTTCCCTTCTTCTTCTCTCCCTCCCCTTCCTCCCTCCCCTCCACCCCTGCTCCTCCTCTCCTCTTCCTTCTTCTTGTTTTCTTCATAGCAACTGTTATAACCCTGTAGTTAAACCAAAAAAGAAAGAAGAGAAAGAAAGAAAGAAAACGGAAAGGAAAAAAGAAAGAAAGGAAGAAAGAAAGAAAGAGAAGAAAGAAAGAAAGAAAGAAAGAAAGAAAGAAAGAAAGAAAGAAAGAAAGGAAGAAAGAAGGCCCATTAGGGGAAGGTCTGTGAGCCAGGAATGAATCGATGTGTCATTCAAAACCCTACTGATGGCATATTTTGTGGCCTTGGGCAAGTCACCCAATCTGTCTGCAGCTTCCTTCCAAACTGAGAGGCACACTGAAAAGGGGCCGGGAGAAAAATCATCAGTTCTGCAGAAAGATATGAACAACTTGGTTCCATGTGCGCAATAATGAGCCCTTTCTACTTAGGAGGCTTTGGCCCCTCTCCTCGGTTCACTTTTGAGAGTGAACAGATTTGCAACTAAATGGGAGCCCTCAGCAGCTTCTGCCCGTGGTCCAGCCTCTTTCTGATGCCACTCAAAGAGGCTTTCAGTAGGGCCCAGGCCAAGACCGCTTTGCTGCAAGTGTTACGTGAGAAAGAAATTAAGCTATACTCCTCTACAAATTAAGGCAGCAGGAAATGTGTGTTTTTAAATTGTGGTCTTGAACTTCAGAAGTTCATTTGCTTCAAAAGACGGGCCTGCCTCTAGGGTTTTGCTCGGCGTGTCATGTATTTAAAATGTCTCACACGTGCTTATGGCCAGTTATATGAACACACAGATGCCTAACCTAGAGAGAAGAGGACGCTGTGCTAGAGTCTTGTTCTGTAATTGAATTTAGCCAGAATATTCAAGACTGCCGGTCAGAGACCCCCCAGGCATATTTGATGTTTCTGGCCATCCTCTTCTGCTTTGACTCAATTCAAGTTTTGCTTGGATTGAGATGAAACCCAAAATAGATACTCTGTGTGGCACACTGGGTGCCAGTCTCTGCAAGGCACCAGCCCTCCTGAGTTCACACGGGGGAATAAATGACACAGAACAATGAGCACTGTGGCATGAGCCAACCCGTCCCTAGACAGCAGGAGCACCACGCTCACGAGCGTCTGGAATGCTGAGGTTTTCTGCGTGGACACGGGGGCACATGCCATTCATCCACTAAGCCATTCACCCATTAATACTCTTTGTGATCAGTTTGCCAGATTAACCGCTAAGCCTCCAGCAGAGTCACTGGTGGATGCTCACCCCAGAGCAGCCACTTCAGAGACTGGAGATGCTCTAGATGACCCCAGGGTAACCCACAGACCTCACCTCTCCATTCCACCTGAGGCCTCCGAGCGCCCATGCTTTCTTCATAAACCCAGACACCATCTCTAAGAGAGGCGGGTACAGGGACAGGCCTCTGAACAGCTGTATCGGTGACTTTCCTTATCACCGTGACCAAGTAACTGACAGGAGGAGCTCAGAAAGGGGCAGTGATGTGGGGTGACACTGTCGTTCACTGTAAAGATTCGTCACTCTGTGTCGGTTTAACATAATGCTGATCGGCCAGTAGCCAGGCAGGAAGTATAGGCCAGGGTGGGGTGGGGTGGGGTGGGGTCGGGGGTGACCAGCCTAGGAGAATTCTGGGAAGAGGAAAGGCAGAGAGGCAGCTGCCAGTCAGACACAGAGGAAGCAAGATGAGAATGCCTCACTGAGAAAAAAGCACCAAGACACGTGGCCAAACCCAGAATATGGGCTAATTTAAGTTGTAAGAGCTCATTAGTAATAAGCCTGAGCAATAGGACAAACATTTCACAATTAATATAAGCCTCTGCGTGTTTATTTGGGGCTGAACTGCAGGACAGGGCAGGACAGAAACTTCCGTCTACAGAGGGGTTTACTTTGACTGACAGTTTCAGAAGATCTAGCTGATCCTGGGGGAGAAGGCGGGGCAGCTAAAGTTGGGCTGTCTGTGGTGGTGGCGGGAGCTTGCAGGAGGTTTCTCCTACGACACTGACCAGGTAACAGAAATGGATGGGAAATTGGGCCAAGCCATGGCCCTCACCCATAGTTCTGAAATTCCTAGTGCCAGCTAAGGTCCCACAATTTCCCGACATAGTGACAACGGCCAAAGGGCAGCTGAACAATACAGGAGCCATTATGGGCTATTGCAAGCCCCAGACCACTGACAACAACCAGATGTTTATGTCTGGGACAGAGCAACCTCCTTAAGAGATGGTTTAAATGGTGACTCTGGACCGAGCTTATTGTGTTGTCTAAAGGCTACACCAAATGCCTTTCAATTAGGACATAAAAAAAGACCCCTTTCTTCAGGCTAATTTGAATTATGTGACATAGTACTGTTAACTGCAATTAAGCATTGATAAAAATCTGTAGTTTTGCTACATCAGAAAGAAACAAAGCTATAAGCAGAGTCTCAGGACCCATGCCATGCCTAGCCAGCCAGTGAACTGTATTTTGCAGATTGATGGGGTGATTCCTGTGTACATGAAATGTGGGGTGTGCTGCTCTATGGTCCAGGATCATGGCTTGAGCCTTTCCCGTCATCCTGCACATCGTGCTATGTCCGGGGTAAGTCTGTGTCTTGACCTCATTTGAATAAAAATAAAGAGAAAATTGGAGAGAAGGGTGGGGAGCCTCCATCCCCATTCTGAGCCAAGGAGCCAGAAAACCTGAGCTGCTCCCGAGGTCCCTCACAGGCCACAGCCCTCCATTGACAGCTGTTCTGTTGAGGAGGCTCATGTCATGGGTCCATGGGGAAGGGGGCAGTTCAGCTATGTCTGCCAGGGGCAACAGATGAGAGAATGCCTCATTTGCCACTCCTGAGGCTATAGACGCCAAGGGAGACCAATTAGGAAAGAGTTCTGACTCTTCCTGAACAGGATTTGCAGCATGGAATATGACAATTGCTTTCTCACATCCAATCCATGATGGGACGGCTTCATAACCAGCCTCCTTCGCCCCAGGAGAAGGAAGGGGGCTCTGATTCTCTGGAAAGCCTTCTCACCCTGAGATCTTCCACCCGGCCAAGAAGGATCTTGCTAAGCCCAGCACCAGAACCACCAGTTGTCACACACGTGCCCTGTTATCATAAACCGAGGAAGCAGCTAATTCTGCAGAATCCAAGTCTCCCAGGAATTTGCTTGACAACATTTTTTTCCCTCCAAGTCAGGCACATCTTTTCTTTAAAGTGCATTGCTTTAAAAGAAGTTTCGGGAATACTCTTTTAGGATCGAATGTCTTACTCCGTTCCCCTTCCTCTCAGCAATGTGGTACCAGGGATTGACCAGAGGTTGGGAGGGCACATGCTCTCCCACAGGAGCCTCCTGGGTAGATACCTCAGGATAGTAGTAAACCTCTCTACACCTCAGCTCATTGGTGACTCAGTAATCAATACAGTTTCAAAGAAGCCACCCCCCGTGCTCTCCTCCCTAAGTTCTGTGAGTTTGAGCACATATTACCACTAATGGAAAAGTTTGCCTCATCTGTGAGATGTTTGGGGCGTCTGGCAGCTGCTGCTGTGGGAGGGTGACAAGGATCCCCTCTGTCCTGGATGATCGCATGGTACAGAGCACCCTGGAAGCATGAGAGCAGGCCAGAAGTCCCTGGTGTCTCCAAGGATACAAGGTCCATAAATAAATTGCGGTGTTGGGGAACCTAAATAGGAACAGAAACTCGGCATGGATTCAGCTCCCAGAACACCCCCAGCGGCAGAGATAAGCTAACAAGAAAACCCTTCTACTGACCATGCCTGGACCATCCCGGCCTGGTCACAACAGCACACAGGCTTCTTTCCCCACTCCTCTCCGTGCCGGTAGGGTCGGGGTGATGGCCCTGGAGCCCCTAAGTCACCTACTGCTGGAAGGGGACTCTGGCGTCACTCACAGGCTAGCATGTGGGCCAAGGGTGCCGTGGCAAGATCCGCGTGTGCAGCCCTAAACTCCCACACATGGCAGTATTTGGAGACCCTGAAAGAGGGCTCTAAGGTTAAATGAGACCAGAAAGGAGGCTTTGACGACGTTCATGGGTCTGGGCACACGGGCAGAGAGCATGGGGCTGACGCTAAGAGAAGGCCAATGTCTGCACACCAGGAGCAGAGTCCTCAGAAGGAAGCGAATTCCCTTCTCTTTGTCATCGGCTCCCAGAGCAGCGAGAAAACGCCTTTCTACTGTGGGAAGCACCGGTTTGAAGTGGTTTTTTCCCCCCAGCAGCGCTAGTCAGCTAACAGAGGACTGCTCTCCAGGCCACAGCTGTCACAGCCCCATGGGATGGCTAGTGACTAGAGCTGAGTCACTTCTGATAGGTGGGGTGGGAAAGGGAGAGAAAGTGAAGAGGTCCCTGGGCCGTCTCCAGCTGCCAGCTCGCTTTGAAGGCGGAGACCAGGGCTAGCAGATGGGAGTGAGCTGAGTCCCTTCTGCAGGTGAGTCACAGGGTATCCGGGCACACAGCCCGCTATCAGCCCACAGGCAGCTTCCAGCCTCTGAGGTCACATGAGAACCCCGTGAGCTTGGGGGTCAGCTAGGGGAAGGCATGCTAGACTCATGGAATCCCTGTTGTCTTTGCCCTCAGAGACCTTTGTTCCATCTCTCCCATGGCTGGCTTTTCAGAGTCATCCTCACCATCAGAAAGTGCTGGCCACAAGGCTTACCTCACTCCTGCTGGCCACCCATCTCTGCCTCTTTGGGGGCAATGGTGACCTCACAACTCTTCTGCAGATACTTCTGCAGACTCATTAAAAGGAGTCCCAACATTTGTAAAAACCCTTAGAACCCTCCCCTAGCATCAAGGCTTCTTGCTTGCATTCAAGCTGGGTGTGGCTTGAGACCCCTGCCTTGTAGCCCAAGGACTCTTAGTTCACACAGAAACACAGCCAGCCACTTGGATTGTCTGCAATGCTGCCGGGTGTGTTCTGAGCTGTCCTTTCTTCCCACTGCAGAGTGTCTTGGTCAGGATGCTTGCTTGCACTGGAAACCTATTATATACCAACTGTTCTGGGAACCTGATGCATGCTGGGAGGAAGACAGTGGCTGTAGCCTCCCATGGGATGCCTTGAGGCCACTGTGGTCCCCATCCCTTTCTAGTTTGTACTCCATTCTCCTTCCTCCCAGTGAAGGAAACAGGATTCTGTCTGCATCCTCTCTGTCTCTGTCTCTGTCTCTGTCTCTGTCTCTCTCTCTCTCTCTCTCCTCATTTTTCATGTGTTTTCTAGTTGTGGATAAAACCATGACGTCAACAATGCTTTACCAAAGATTATGTCTACACCTCCTGCTGTCCCTTCCCTCTCCGCTTGGCTGGGCACTGCAGCGGCAGGAGTCTGGAGCAGCTTCCCAGCTCCCAGCGTGGGACACACACATACTCCGAAGCATGAGGAGCAGTATTAACCTCTCAGATTTCCCCACAGCACATGAGACAGTCATGGCGTGTTATTTCTGTCGCTCCTCACCTTCATCTCTCACCATTTAGAACCAGCCGCTTGCAATGAGCAGCATGAAACAGAAATCCGGGATTCATCTATATTGCTTTCTGCTAGACTGTCGTGGCGGAAGCTCGTTTGCCGTCCTGAGGAACTGTGGGAATCGAGCATATGACAGTGAAGCTTTTGGAACCTTAGCTCCTGCATGGTCGCGGGGCTTGGCTCTTTACACCTTAGGTTTCAGGGAGAGGACCAACGTCTCCCACACAGACAGGCCACCACTCCCGTCTCCTGATCCAGCTTCTGGCCGCAGAGCAGTGCAGCTACAAGAAAAGGCTAGGAATGGATGCGTTCCAGCTCACTGGGGTTTGGACCAGGCAGCTCTCATCCCCAGAGAAGGGATTCTCTGTGGAGGCTGGGCTGGCAGCGCTCAAGCTGGCCTTGTGGTTGGCACGTAGGCCATCAGAAATCATGTGCACACCATCCTGCCAGGCTGGGGCCATCCTGAGGGGCAGGGGGTTAATTGCTCACGGGGGGGGGTGCGAAAGAAGCCATTCTCTCCACTTTGCAGGCTCCCTTTGTGTGCGGGGACAGCTATTGCCCCAACCGGTTCAATATCCATCGTACCGTGCCTGCATTCTTCCCCGGGAGTTCAGGCCTGTCTCTACCAGGAACAGGTGCCAAATTGGAGTACGGAATTTTCCCGGCAGGCCTCAGGGACTGCTGCTGCCAAGGCGACTGTGGTAGGGTTGGGGAATAACTATCGAACCACAGATCTGGAGAGGCAAGACCAGGCCACCCTTTAGTGTTGAATCAGCTCAGGTACAGGGTGTCCCCTGAGAAAAGGCTTCTCCAGTGCCAAACCCAGATGAGGACTATAAGCAAGGCTGGCTCTCACTGGACAACTTTCCAGAAGTGAACCAAACAGGCCCTGTAAGGACAAGGAGAGAGGCTTTTCTGGGAAGGCCACAGCAGGCTCTGCCACATAGGAGCAGCAAAAGCCACATGATTCCTAGGGAAGCCCCAGACACCTGGGCTAGAGGGCGTCCAAAGTGAGGTCCAGACCTTTGTGGGTGCCACGAGGAAGCAGAACCCTATTCTACACAGAAACCGTACTGGGATTCAGGACAGCAGGACGAAGTCGGCGATACCCTAGCGCCAAGGTCACAGGTCCATGCAGGGGAAGTGCACTTGCCCTGTACGCACGAGAGCCTGAGTCCAGTCCCCCAGAACCCACTCTGGAACAGCTGGGTGTGGTGGCACACACATGTAATCCCAGACACGGGGAGGCAGAAAGAGGTGTCTGCCTGGGACTCGCACTCCAGCCAGCCCGGACTAACTGGTGAGTTCCAGCCAACGAGAGACACGATCTCGAACAATAGTGACAGCAAACGAGAACCCTACGGTGGGCTGCGCCCGAGTCCTCCTGGCTCTGTATGCACGCGCGCCCACGTGCATGCTCACCCCACACAAAGCAGCCATCCTCCCCGTGACTCCCCCATCTCCGTTTCTCTCCAAGCCAAATGAGCAGACACGGAGGAGCAGGTGCTGTTTCCTCCTCTGTGGCGTGAGTATGGTTATGTGCCCTTGACTGTGTGGATTCACACGCCCTGTACACCCATGAGGCCCAGCCTGGAACAGGGCCGGCTTTGCTCTTAATCTTACCACCGTGAGACAGGGCCTCTCACTAAACCAGAAACTCATATTTTTTTGGCTATGCTGGCTGGCCAGTGGCCAGCCAGCTTCTCAGAAGTGACCGATCACCACCTGTCCAATGCCAGTGTGACAGACACATAGCAATCACGTCTAGGTTTTCCCAATGGCCACTGGGTGTCGGAACTCAGGTCATTATACTTGAAGAGCAAGTGCTGTTACCCGCAGAGCCACCCCCTCCACAGCCCAAAAGAAGCAAGTCCTTTGGAGCTGCCTGTCAGTAACACATCAACACCGCGTCACTAGCGACAGAGCATCCCGTGGAAGGAGCCCCACCCACAGCCAGCATGGCAGGCAGCACACCTGAACGGCTGGGAGATTTGTGACTACATGGCTTTCCTCTTTCTGGGCCCTGAAATCTTGACTACAATTCTAAGACCATTTCCAAGGTCACTGACGATGAGGCCACGGAGGGGACATCGGTTTCGGGGACAGAAAAGTACAC